GGGGGGCTGCAGTGATGGTTGACTTTCTACAACTTTCTCCCATCTCCTGACTGCATCTCTGGAGCTCAGCCACAGTCATCTTTGGGTTCTTCTGTACCTCTCTCACCAAGGCTCTTCTCCCCCGATAGTTCAGTTTGGCCGGACGGCCAGCTCTAGGAAGGGTTCTGGTTGTCCCCAATGTCTTCCATTTAAGGATTATGGAGGCCACTGTGCTCTTAGGCACCTTAAGTGCAGCAGAAATTTTTTTTGTAACCTTGGCCAGATCTGTGCTTTGCCACAATTCTGTCTCTGAGCTCTTCAGGCAGTTCCTTTGACCTCATGATTCTCATTTGCTCTGACATGCACTGTGAGCTGTAGGGTCTTATATAGACAGGTGTGTGGCTTTCCTAATCACGTCCAATCAGTATAATCAAACACAGTTGGACTCAAATGAAGGTGTAGAACCATCTCAGGGATGATCAGCAGAAATGGACAGCACCTAAGTTAAATATATGAGTGTCACAGCAAAGGGTCTGAATACTTATGACCATGTGATATTTCAGTTTTTCTTTTTTAATAAATCTGCAAAAATGTCTGTGTTTTTCTGTCAATATGGGGTGCTGTGTGTACATTAATGAGGAAAAAAATGAACTTAAATGATTTTAGCATATGGCTGCAATATAACAAAGAGTGAAAAATTTAAGTGGGGCTGAATACTTTCCGTACCCACTGTATTGCACCCCATACCAGGGACAGAGAGGAACATAAATTCAGAAGAGAATTACTGCTTTTACATCCAAATAGCACATTCCTTTACTCATGTTTTAATTATAATTTATTGTTCACTTGGATGCTATTTTATTAGGTACACCTGGCTAAAACTAATGCAGTCTAATACAACACTCCCGCAATAAATGCCCTGAAAAGAATTTTTCATGTTCACAAAAACAAAACACACACATACACATGCAAAAGCAAATAATAAACAAATTTCCAAATGTTTGAGTATTCTTATGCACTATGGCTAACAAAAAAATGAACTTAAATGATTTTAGCATATGGCTGCAATATAACAGAGTGAAAAATTTAAGGGGGTCTGAATACTTTCCGTACCCACTGTACATGTGAGGTAACTCCTCTTTATACAAATACCAACATGGGAAGCATCCTGTTAGAGTAAGACAGGTTCCAGCTGAGACAATATTTCCTTTATATCTAGCATTAACTTGATTCTCAGCTGACAATGTCCAGGGTTATGGCGTTCACCTACCGAGCATGTGTTTGCAAAAGCATTAGGGACTGAAGGCTGGCAGTAATCCAGCCACCCAAACTACTTATAGTGCCATTGTGGTGAAATCCACCCCAAATGCAATCGCAACAGCATTTCCACAGATGTTTTCTTTAAAGGCCATTCTATTCACTTTGAAAGGTTGTTTTCCTAGTATTACTATATTTATGAACAGTTAATCTCATTTTTATCTTAATAGTTAAGCAAATCGTGCATCATCATGTTAGAAATCCTGCTTCTTTTTACACAGTATTTCATAATTCTGTACATTAAATCAAACTCCTCTCAGGAAAATGCTGTAATTGATCACTACATGTGTTTGCTCTTCCGGTATTTACAAAGCAAATAAAAACATGACTTGCAGAGTTTCAGGTCCATGATATAAGAACATAGCTTATGCTTAGATTAGTGCAATAATCAAACATTTTAAAACATTATGTGGCAGTTGCAAGACATGCAATTATAATTATTGTAATTAATAATAATAATAATAAAGTGTAATTCTACAAAAAGATTATCAATTGTCATAAGATGAAGTGATTTAATAGACAGATATACTCATCTTAATAACCAATGAAATATAGTGGCCTTCAAACCTTCTGTTGTTACTCTGAGTTGTGTCCACAATACACAAATCCGAGTAACAACAGACACAATTCTGAGCTGTGCCTGTGGACACAAATAAGCCTCTGTTGATGCAGGATCTAAATCTAATAGGATTAACTTTACTGTCGCTGACCTCCTCCTCTGTGACTTGGGACAATGGCGCATTTGTTCAGTCCTTTAGTCTTCATCACACTTTCAATATGCTTTGTATAAACTCAGCAGTTCCCTTTTTATTTGTAACATGGATGTATTTGACTATGTTTTCTAATAGTAATGGATATTGTGAGGGAGGGAGGTCAGGAGTTTGAGGCCCCTTAGGATTTTATGCTTTTATCTATGATGACCCTTAAGATTAAACATACAATTAATAGATTTTTTTTATAATAGAACCACAATATTATCACCTGTAGAACTAGTATCAAAATACTTCTTGTTTATCTTCTTCTTCCCATCTTCCCCTTGCTTTCCTTCACATCTGACTTTATAATGGTGAGTTATTTAAATGCTGTTTTTTTGTTTAGTCATTTTACAAATTTTTATTTTGTCCAGTCTTCTCTTCTTCTTCTTCTTGCACAAGACTCTTCTCTGATGTTTTGTATCTTTCAAGAAAATCTATAGAAGCCAAAAAAGAAGAAAGAGGAGGCCAATAGCACAGTAGAAGCCAAGTTGAACCGAACTGAGGCCAAACCCCAAAAAACAAAGACCAAGAAAAAGGAAGGTGCTTCAGAAGAAGACAGCTCAGCCATCCAAAGTGAGGAACTTTGAAAAAAAGAGGATATATTCGTTCTATTAGTATACTCCAATCACATTGGTTACATTGCTGTTTCCTTATCAACATTGTAGAAAAAAAGAAGGTGAAAAAAAAGAAACCAGAAAAAAATAAAGAAGAGCCAGAAATAGAAAAAGGCAAAGAGCCAAAGAAGAAAGCCAAAAATGCTCCAAAAAAGAAAAGTAAGTCTATCATGGGTAACCAAGTTGTGTGAAAAGCTTTGAGACAAATACATTTGAATGCATTCTGGAAATAATTTCTAAACAGGCAGAATTTGTTTGATGAAAATGCTTGTCAACTCTTTAGATTCAGGCACAGACGACAGTGATGATGATGATGAAAACACGCCCAAAAAGAAATCTAAGAAAAAGACTACGAAGGACAGCTCTCCATCTGAAAGTTCTGCCAAAGGAAAGAAATCTAAATCAAAAGGTATGGCAAGAAGCAAGAAAACAGGTCTATAAAGGCATTAACAGTATGCTCATAGACCAGTCTGATGGTGTTAAGATTATCCAGTGATTGTTTTGTGTATTGGTGATTGAGTGGAAGCTGACTCTGTAGCTGAGGCAAAACTTTCATTTGTAAAGGAGTATTAACTTTCATTTTACACAGTCTGATAGATAAAGTGAAAATGGGACAGGATGTGGTGGCTATCTGCTGTAGCCTATTACCCCCCACCATGATAGTCTGCAGCCTTTATGTTGTTCTGTAGTAGTGATCCCTTAAACCAGGAACCGAGTTAGCATTTTTGCACTTCCGGTTTCTTCGCCCTGAAGTCAAAGGGTTTTTGGCTAGACTTGTAGTTAACACAAGGTCAGTACACTTCCATGTTTTGTTTACAATATAAAACACATCAGTAAATACCCCACTCATGATTTTTTTAAATGCTTTTAGACAATTTTAAAAAGGTGGTTCCCAACAAGATGCTAAATGAGATTACAGAGGCTCTCTGGGATATTAACCGTCACCATGCCCAACGCAAGATTAATCCACTCACTAGCACATCTCTATAGTCCTGTCATGTTTACACTTGTGCACTTGCAAATTGTTCTAACTAACTGACATAGCCAAAGCATTTAGCTGCTGAAGAGCCAGATATTTCTCTCAGGAACTGGTGGAGACCAAAAAAAAAACAAAACAAAAACAGAGCTTAAATAATAGTGAATATTGGATTTACATTCATCTGGTGAACAGAAACGCAGTTACTAATGATGACTGCTGAATGTGTAAACAAACATTGGTTTGCTTCAAGGTCAAAATATCAACAAAAAGGCGATATTGTCAATGTTTTTCTGGTTCTGCTGCCCCCAAGTGGTCATTTATTTCTAACAGCTTCTTATATCATTATACTGTATATTGTCATATTAACACAGATTTAAGTTGTTAGTCACTAATTTAGATGACACAGGGTTTGATGAAGAAATGGCAAACACTGTATGACTAGCTGACGTTTAGACAGACTAGACAAATCAAAAATTGGTGACTAGACCTAACTTGACGAAGTTGTACATACTAAAGTGTTTACCTTAGCAAATGTTTAATTGTGTGGTTTTAAAGCTTAAGGTCATTAATTCAAAAACTCTACACTTTTGAAAGATTTGTCAACATAGATCACATTTTCACACCATTGACAGTATCGTGACTGCGATCAAGCTTATGAGGACACATGACTTGTGGCACTAGATGTAAATGAAGACTTTTGCATCCATCTCCTTGATACCTTCCAAGATAAGCACTCTGTTTTGGTAGCTTGGATCCTTGTATATAGACTCTGGTGAAGCCTGACTCAAGTGCTCAGAATCTGACAAAACAGGTGGAAGAAACAGCTAAAGGAGATCAGGATCACATGCTTAAAATTTGTTCTGCTCTTTCATATCTGTCATGGTCTTAAATTTTTGCTTGTTGATTGATTACAGTGATTTGTGTGGCATTCACTTCTCTTCTCTCTCTGACCTCTCTAAGTCCATTGCCTAACATAGTTCAAGGACTGAGAATGACATTATTTTACACATTACATATATATTAAATTTGCTTTAAAGTTTGGTAACATTCAGGTTTCATTTGTTTTCTTTTTTCAAGCCACAGAGGACAAATATTCCGATGGAAAAGAAAAGAAGTCCAAGTCTAAAGAGAAGGATAAGAAGAAGGAACCAGCTTCAATGTTCCAGATAAATGGAGAAAAAGACTCAAAAAGCAAGAAGAAAGGTAATTACATTTCTGATAAACTGTCACAACTAAAAACTTTGATTCGCCCTTTGTAAGTTCTTTTATTTGTATATGAAACAATGCATACAGCACAGCATGCGTCTCCATGCTGAGGTGATAAAATGTAGACTTTGACTACAATTTATGTCTCTTAATTTGAGTTCTTACAAATGTATGATATTATTTTAAAATATTTATGCCTGTTCCTTAAATAGCTGCCAAATCAGACAGTGACCACAGTGAAGAGGAGACAAAGTCAAACAAACTGAAGAAGAAATCCACCGCTGGCTTTTCATCTATGTTCCAAGCATCGGGAGACAAGGACAAAGACAAGAAGACAAAGAAGAAAGGCAAGTCGTTTGTGGACTGGAGAAGAAAGAAGACCATATTTCTCTGTTGGACTCACTGGCAAATTATATAACAATACTGTTGTCTGTTTCAGGAAAGGCAGAAGAGAGTGATGCTTCAGACTCAGAAAAAGAGGAAAAATCAAAGAAGAAAAAGGGCAAAGGGAAGAAGAAAAAGGTTTTTCATAAAATAAAACATTTCATGTCATGTTAAATGGGCAAGATTACATTTCACTGTGACCAAACCATGCAGTAATTATTTTAAGCACAATCGACTTATGTATGCTTCTTGATCAGATGAGATGTCCATCTCCTGAGATTGAGTTTGACAACTTGGAGAAGTTTGTGATGCAGCCGGCTCCGCAGGGTGTGACCATCAAATGTAGAGTGACGCGAGACCAGAGAGGGATGGACAAGAGCCTCTACCCACTGTATTACCTTCATCTAGACAATGAAAAGAAGGTCAGGGATTGATCTGTTTTTGAGTTTAGTTTATAATCTAAACATTAATGGAGGTTAGCAGTCATCATGTATCAGCAAGTGACAAGATTTAGGCCAAAACTAAAACCTGCCTTCTGTCTGCTCTTTCATTATTTGATGTAGTGTTTTAGGTTTCTCTGTAGATTGTATTGCACTTGTTCTTTTATTCTAACAGGGCTAATTCTCTTAGCTCCTTTTTTTTCCATTTCCACTGTAGATATTCCTGTTGGCTGGGAGGAAAAGGAAGAAAAGCACAACTTCAAATTACCTCATCTCCACTGACTCCACAGACTTATCAAGAGGTGGAGAGAAATTTATTGGAAAGCTGAGGTACATTGCAGCCTGCATTCAAAAAGGAGGATACAGAGTGTGCAATGTAATGTCAGCAATAAAAGCATTCAATCCAGATTAGTTTTTAATTATAAAAGTTCTTTCATATGTTCCCTAGGTCAAATTTAATGGGGACTAAGTTCACTGTGTTTGACAATGCTCTGAATCCAGACAGAGCTCTTCCAGACTTGTCTAATGCACGGCAGGAGTTAGCAGGCATCATCTATGTAAGTCATGTAGTAGCTCACCTCTAATTATCCACAGTACATTTCATGAACACTGTTTTAGGGTAGATTTGGTTTTAAAAAAGAAAAAAAAAAAATCCAGATTTTGCTTATTTGTGCTTCAGGAAACCAACGTGTTAGGCATGAAAGGGCCCAGAAGGATGACGGTCATCATTCCAGGAATGGACAAGGACAACACGCGAGTACCACTCCGACCAAGAAACGTAAGATAATAGGGTGTTGACTGTTTGTTTCACTTTAACTGTATTGCTTTTACTGGAATATAAACACAAGGCCAGTGTGTAAAATCGTATTGCTCTCTGTTGGTGTTCACTGACTTGTGTTTTGCCAATTCTTTGCAGGGATATGATGGCTTGCTGCTAAGACATCAGAATAGAAGAATGGAAAATCTGATTGAGCTTCACAATAAGACGCCGGTGTGGAACGAAGAAACATCGTCTCATGTGCTCAACTTCAACGGCAGGGTCACCCAGGCCTCCATCAAGAACTTCCAGATTGTCCATAACAAAGACTGTGAGTCCTTTTTATCTCACAGTCCATCTTTGTCCCGTCTCACATATGCACCTCCTTATGTAAACATGATAGCAGTTTTATGTGTGGTCTTGTGTCAGATTAAATGAGGGCCCCAACATAACAAATTGTCAGATATTATAAAATATGCAGCAGAATTCTCTCTTTAATAAGTTATGAAATTGATGAGAAAATTTGTTTGATTGACCGAAAGAGCAAAAAAGGTGATGCAGCCAGTGAGAGAACAGAAAAAAACTCCTCTTCCTTATTAAACTTTTCAACCTATTGCTGTTTTCCAGTAATGATAATACTCCTCTCTTGCTCCAGGTGCCAAATATTATGCGAGAACTTAGCTCTTTCTGTGAATAACAGATCAATGTTTCCCTTGCTCCAGGTGCCAAATATCATGCGAGAACTTTGCTCTTTCTGTGAATAACAGATCAATGTGTGTGTCAATTTCTTAACCTTTCCAGTGGACTACATTGTGATGCAGTTTGGACGGATAGCCGACGACATTTTCACGCTGGACTACAACTACCCACTGTGTGCTGTGCAGGCCTTTGCCATCGCATTGTCCAGCTTTGATGGCAAAATTGCCTGTGAATAATAGGAAGATCTCTGACTGGCAGCTCTAACTGAAACCAGTATGCAACACTCCCACAGTCAGATCAGACCAACCCATGTCTTTGGGCCTGCCTTCAGCGCTTCCTGTGATAGACACCGATAACGAACGGAGGTTCTTTGAATGTGGCAATACCTGCTGTTGCACTGTTGCCTTTATGGGTGTGATTCCCTCCAGGAATAATAAACGAAGCTGGTTTCATTTTATCATCTGATCTTGTCACAGGAGAGTCCTGGTTTTTGTAATTCAGTATAAAGGTCTGAATTTCTGTGAATCACAGAAAGTCTAGTGGCCAGAGAGTGATGGGTTGTTTCAGGCGATGATGGTACACCTCAATAATGAAAGTGTTAAACGATGTGTTAAAAAGATATTAAACAGTGTTTTGGTGTTGTTATGCTGCATTGTATTGTTCTTCGGTCTATCTGGCTTTGTTTAAGTAGCTTATTAAAGTCTTGTGTCAGATGTGACGCACCAAAAAATTGAAACATACCAAGAATATCTAGTTTCTTTAAGGCAAAAGTCTAATTACAGTTACACTCAGTGAGATATCAATCTGCAGAAGTGACACACACTGTCACTTTGAAAATAAGAAAACCATTACTCTTATTTGAAGCTTATTAAATCCAATAACAGCAGTTTAACACAATGCACTGTCCAGATTTTAGTGACTCAGACACTGATTCCAGGTGTCAGGTATTATTAAAGTAATGTGTCATTGAAACATATTGAAATAGAAATATCTTTAGTTGGTAACTAGTGTTAACGTGGTGTTTTCACAAAATATTTGATGTAATTTAGTTTATTACTCTGGCAGATTGCGTGTTTTTGGTGATTGCATCTGATTTGAGCTCATGTAGATTTTTTTTGAAGATGTATTTTCTTTTCTGAACACTGCCTTTGTTGCACTTCTATGTTTATTGTAGTAATATTATTTAATAAGGAATGTGTATTAAAATTTTAAAGTTAAATTTTATTATATGAGTACATGTTCATGACTAGTCAAACTTTCTTTGTTTCTCACTTCCTGTTTAGTGTCATTGGCTCAAAATGCCTAAATATTAAATATGTCATAACAGAAATCTTTTATTTTGGGGTAACCACAATGCACCTGATGTGGTCTCAGCCGGGAACCTTAGTTACAATTTCTTTCTCTCTCACCCTGCAAATCTTGTCTCTGCCTGAACTATTACCATCTTAAAAAAATTAAATGCATTTATTTTGCAGAGTCATCCTCAGTTCCTCTCTAATGTCTTATGCTTTGGGATTTGATAAACTGCTACAGAATATGTTTTTGACTGTATCATCTTCTCTGAGCTGGCAGATCATCAGACACACTCCTGCCAGTTGCGGGTTTTGAGAGACACCCACGCTTTTCTCCTGTAGCTTACTGACACATCGAGAGGAGCTTCACTATGGGTGAAAAACCTGTTTGAGCCTTGAGAGTAAGTGAGAGGTGTGTATTCTGCCTGAACCTGCTCAGGCAGATGTCCAAACTCGCAGATTAAATGACGCCTGAAGCTGACAGCTCTTCTGGCCAGATGCTGTGAGGTGAGTTCTTATTCCCTCCATTGCTTTTTTCTGTTACGCAAGTTCCAGCTAAACAAGATTACTGCTGACATTTTTAAAACGCTGTGACAGTTTGTGTTAGTCATTTTGATCTGTATACAAAGTAGCTCTCCTTTTGTTGTATCAGCAGTGCATAAATACACACAGTAAATTAAAATCTTGTAACCACGTTGTTGACCAACAGAAGGAGCTGTTGCTAGACAGAGGTGTGTTCAGGGTCTATGTTTACTTTACGGTGATGTACACATTTTAAATAATTGAAAGAAGCAGTTTTATGATATCTCTAAAACTTGGGTTGTCTTTTATAATTTTAAGTTCTGGGAGCTTGAACGGTATTCTCTCTTTGGACATAACCCTAACACTTCCAACATTAATACATTTAAATTTACAAATAGATGAGGATAATTGTCATAAACTCTTACAATCTAAAATTACATATTACTTTATTCCAAATCCACACTACATCAAGTGTTTTTTTTGGAGTTGTATCTTTGATAGCATATAACAAATTTATATTTGGTCATTTTTAGTCAAAAACAGAGTATACAGTGCCTACAGATTAATCACACTGAAAGGTTTGGATGACGCTCACTGAAAACATCTGGACAATGAATAAGTTTAGGTTTCTTCATGACTATGCTGGATCTAAGGGGTTGATGTTTTGTTGTAAAATTAGGCTGCTCACACACATGGTCAAGCCCTCAGTCAAAAGGAGCAGGATTAGAGGATGGATATTAATGTTGGATTTGCATCCCATTTATTAAATCTGGATAATTTGGGACAGTATGCTTTGCCAGTGGTGGAAGAAGTACTCATATTCTTTACTTAAGTAAAAGTACAGAATAAAAATACTTTGTTACAAGTAAAAGTCTTTGCTTTCAAAATGTTACTTAAGTAAAAGTACAAAAGAGTTAGAATTAAAAGTACTTAAAGTAAAAGTACTCATTCTGCAGAATAGCACATTATACATTATTTTGTATATCATATTATTGAGCTATAATTATTGATGTAATATTGTGTTCATCACATTTAGTGTTGCAACCAGTAAAGATGGAGCTGATGTTAACTACCTTATATACTTATAACTGAAGTACTTTACATACTGCTGGGTAACTTGTGAATACTCCACCAGGGATCAATAGAGTCTTATAATTATACTGTGTTTTGTTTTATTCCTCTCATTTTGAAAGGTAACTAGTAACTAAAATCATCAAATGAATGTGTTAAGTAAAAAATACAATATTTTCTCTAAAGTATAATGAAGTTGAAGTACCAGAAAATGAAAATACTCATAGCTCAAAATGTTACAGTACTTTAGTAAATGTACTTTGTTACCTTCCAACTCTGTACTATGCCATCTTATATAGCTATGTTTAACTTAGTGGTGTTTTGCACTACACATTTTTGAATCCTCTTTAAAAATGAAGTTACCATGTTCATCCTTTTCATATTTTGTTTACAGTGTAAAAACTTCAATAAAAACATTTATAGTAGCCTAATGCAATGAATCCTGCATCAAGTATCGATATTTTAAAAGTACTCTCCGGTACTACGTGATAAGAATATATTAGAGCATGTGTTTTGCGTAGATCCACGGTGTATTGACAGAAACCTACTGGGGCGGAAGCTGTAGCGACTGGCTTCAGGGGGGCGGGGCCTGATGTGGAGTCACCGCCCCCTGAGCTTGTTGATTGACGCGCAGTGATGGCTCCTCCTTGAAGGTCTTTTTTTCCTCCTCCCCCTTCGTTTGCCAGTGTAGTGCGTTGATTTCATACCAAAGTCATACTTAACATTCCACTTATACTGTCAAACCTCTTAGAAATATTACGGAAAACAACTAGGCGCCAAATTATAACAAAGTTACTAAATTCACCTGCTGCTTTCATTGAACAGAAGGAGGTGACTGCAAGAATTAGAAGGTAAGTTCTCTAGAAATGTCCCCTCATTCTGCTAACAGCCTATTTTTCTGGGGAGTTTTTTCACACCGCTTGCCTCGGTGAAGTTTTCAGATCATTGTCATTTTTTACATTTTTCCGCGGAGCTCCCTGCGTTGGGAGGGAAGAAGACATTTGCAGACTGATAGTCTATTGTGTTTGACTTTGCCAGTGTGCAGTGGTATCATTGACAAGCTCTGTACATTCATATTTCCACCCGTAGCTCGCTCATTGACACAGAGAATCACACAAAAAAGTATCTTTCGACAGCAGAGGAGCGGAACAATATGTTTGTTTTCTGTCTCGCACAGTTCATATCTGGATCCAGCACATCCAGCCTAATTGTTCCTCAAGAGGAATTCGACAGTTATTTTATACCTGAAGAGAATGACAAACGAAAACGTGTTGGAGGAATACACAACAACTTAATTCTAGTTTGGACGTCTGCTCTCCAAAGGTAAGACGAGTTCTTCATTTGTCAGCATAATTATTTCAAGGTAAGGTCTCCTGCTCGTCCACAGTGGACATGAATTTATTAGACAAAGGAGCCCTGAAAGTAAAATTCACAAAAAAAGTCCAACAATCAGTGATGATTAAAAGTTGGCACTTAATTTTTGCCTGGAAACGTTGAAAGAAAAACAAGTAGAACAATCTATTTCTCTTAAGCAGATACGAGTCAATCGTTTAAAAAGTGTTTGTCAAAACATTTGTGAATAAAGCCATTCTAGTTTCAACTAGTTTTAATAATTAACTAGTTTATACACTTGCATACCAAAAATTGTTTCTGTTACACCAGTGCTTTTATACCGGTAGATTTTATTTTGAAATACCACCCCCTTATGTGTTAGTTAATTATATGGTCACCAAAAAAAGAAAGAAACACCTTCGTAGATAAGTTTAAAACCTACCTGCTTTGCAGTTGTAGAAGAGGTACTCAGATTGTTTGCTTAAATAAAAGCAGTACTGTAGTGTAAAAATCCCCCTTTTACTTAATTTTACAAAAGTGTCAAAATATGCTTGTTGTACCAAACATGGCACATTACACATGATTGGATTATAATGATTAATATATATTATTCTGTGGGCTACATCACATCTAATGCCACAGCTGGTGAAGGTGGGGCTCATTTTAACTACCTTATATTATTATGTATCACTAGAATTACTGCAGGGGAGCTTATGAATTTCCCACCGCGTATCAATAAAGTCTTATGGTGTTTTGTTTTATTGATATGATTCTGAAAAGTAACTAAAGTTATCAAATAAATGTAGTGGAGTAAAAAGTCAAAGTATGAAGTAGCAGGAAATGAACCTACCAAAGTAAAGTACAGATACCTCAAGCATGTATTTACGTACAGTAGTCGAGTAAATTTGTTTACTTTTCACAACTTCTATTTTGGTCGATTTAGATAAAATACCGATCCCATGAGAATCACATTTTTGTTAACGAGAAGTCGCCTGAAAATTACAGCACAAAAGAACAGTAGCATAATGTCCTGTGTGTTGATCAGTAATAAATACATTTATTTCTAATAACTTTCACTTGTTATTTCATGACTTGATATCCTCTTGTCATCATGTGCATGTAAATACTTCTTTCTTTCATGCTAACAAATGAGGCATGTGATGATACTTTGCAAAGTCCTTCTAAGTACATAATTCAGAGGTGAGGATTTGAGATGCGTGGCTGTGTATGCAGGCTAATTGTATAATTATATGAGTGCCACCTCAGCTTACTTCTCTCAGTCTCTGTTGTTAGTTTAGGCTCGGTACATTTTTGACAGAGTCAAACGTTTTAGCTGATTAGAGAAAACACGCTGGCACCTCCTTCATCCAAAATGTGTACAGTTACACAGACTGTGGAGTGAAATCACTGCCAGCAAACACATTTTACTCAACAACAGAATGCAGTCAGTCAGGTTCGTCACCATAAGCAGAATAACCTGTTAACATTTCTGTTTGGCAGCTGTTAGTCTGTTGTTTTGCTGCAGAAACAATCCCTGAAGTTAGAAAATGAAATCCTTTCTCAGTAAATATTTTATATATTTTCACCAAGTTTGTGGGGAGTCAAAGCTCTGCAGCCGGCGAACAGTTTTTACTGCTCTGACCTTAATCCACATGAGTATAAATTTAAAACAGGACAGGCTTTTGGTGAGGTCTGTGAAGCCAGGGGCTGTCTGTTTGAGCTACAGTCTTTTGATGCAACACTGATAAAGAGTATGATCAGATATCATATAGCAAGTACTTCTTTTTTTTTTATTATTGGTCATTTCAGGTCACAATTAAGAGACAAAATCTGCTTTGTATTAACATGTGGAAATGATGTTCTGAAATGAAACGACTAACCAGTACAACCAAATTATGTGTCCTTGGTAAATGAGACATGTCAAGATGCCTAATAATAGATTTTGATGCTGATGGGTAAATCTGGAAAGGATTAGGCATTCTGCTGCTCTGACAGATTCCCCTTCATTGTTTTTACGCAGCATGAAGGCACCAGACCTCCTACAGTACGATGTGGTCTTTTTTCCTTGAATATGCTTTATGTTTCTCAGTTGTTGGGGATTCAACATGCACGCTGTCTACTTGTGTGAAAGTTAAATCTGAAGGGAAAGTTTTACAACTTCACCCATGTCATGGAGGTCAATTAGCTTACTTTGGATAATATTCTTTTAAAGTGGCCCTTTTTGCTCTTTTTGCTCTCCAGCTGTGTTCCTTCTGGGCTTCTATCAAAGGGAAGAGTTAATGAGCATGTGCTCTCTTCATGAGCGTAAAAAACGATCTGTAATCTTCTGCTGTTTTTGATTTTTAAAGCATATGTTTAATCAGAAGCTGTGGAGACACTGAAGGTATTTCAGATATTATGTAGTATTCTACTGATTCCAGTGCATCCTGTCTTTGCACAGCAGTGTTTAATTTGGATGAAGGTTTGTTGAAGGTTGGCCACAAGCAGCTTCGCTCGGTTGTGTTAGACCCACAAAAGAATTGCTAATGACCCTTTCTTCCATTTGTGCAGACACTGGTTGCGTTTTAGGACCATCCCCAAAAGCGCTAGTCCAAATGGTGGACGCTTACCCCCCCTGTGAACCCAGATGTGGACAAATACCATTTATGTCTGTGTGGTGAGCACATAGAAGGCCTCAGAGAAGAGTCTGCAGCTCTCAGCAGAAGGGCATTAATGTCAATCTGGAAAACAATATTCAATTTGATGCTAACTACCAGACATTGGTTTAAAGATTTGGGCTGATGAAGAGCACATTGTGCTTTGAGTTATTTATTACAGTGATACAACCTTTGAAGGAACAAGCTAATTCTTGAGTTGCATGCTCTAACACCAACCAAAAGTAATCAAAAAGATGTTTAAACATGCACCAGTTGCTTAACTTTCAAGGTCCCCATCAGCACAGTTTATCACCATTGTATTCACGTTAATGCACTGCACATGTTTACATATCCTCCAAAACATGAGGTTTTAACAGATAAGCTTTTTGGCCTCCTGTTCAGACCACTCAGAGGGGGAGGAGACGGGGAGTGGCCTACAACAGTGTACTCTTTGTGTCAGTTGTCCCCGAGTTGCTAAAGGCTTTAGTGGTTCTTTCTCTGGCAGCCAGTTGTTTTGAGTGATGTCCCACATAAATGTGGTCTAAAGAGGAAGAGCACAGAAGGAAATGTCTATGAGATTATGTGTGCCAGTGTCTGTGGCCTCTCCAGCCTCCATTATAAAAAACAGGAGACTTGCTCTTGCGCTGGGCCCGTCGGGTGTTTCAGAGATGTGTGTGGCCTGTGTGTTGCACCGCAGCTCCGGTGACCTTAGGGCACTCATGTGAAACCCCTTTAATCCCTGTGCTCACTCTGTTTTTGGTTGGGTGATGGGCTCCTTCTTTAGCGTTATTTATTTTGGTTGTCCGTAAAATCACACAACACAGGTGTGCGAGTGATTTACGAGTCTGTGTACATACATTAAATGTCTCTGGTTCAGTTTTTATGTCTAATAATAGTTTGTGAAAATCCTTTGATCAACACCATGGCCCTGATCAACACCATGTCCGCTTTTAATGTCCTGTTCCAAAATTTATATGGTTAGATGAGTTACAGGCCGGGGCATTCTGCTGCAAAGCTGTGCATGTCTTAAAGGTTTCACAGATTATGGCTTCAAACCGCTCCCCTCACCACAAAATGACCAATTCAGGCTAGAATGGCTTCTCCGCTATGTTCCCTGGAAAAATTCCGATTAAAATGCTGATTCAGACTGTAAAAAAAAAAAAAAAAAGAACTCCTTCTGGCACGCTCCGTGCTCTGTGTCAGTCTTTCCCTCTTCAGATAGATTAAGGCTTAATTCTCTGACAGTGTGACAATTCAAGGTAAACCACATAACCGGCAGCATCCAGTGTTAAAATAGAACAATGGATGAATGAATCAGGCCTTATGTTGAAACCCGGGCTTGACGTGTGATTCTCATTTAGCTGCCTGAGCCTCACCGTGACTCATTTAGGAAACCAGTAACCTCATCTTAACTCAGAGTGGTAGCCCTTTTCTACATTGTGTGATTTGTTGTTTTTACAAGAAAGCAACAAATAAGAGTCACGTAGTGATTTTCATGGTGTAAATGTTTGAAAAGTATACACCAGACCTTTGCAGCTCTGATAATTTTCACACAGAAAATGTGGCTGTTCATTCTTGTGTGCAAGACGTTGCTCTGTTGTTACGCAGAGTGTTATTGGTTTTTTTTTTGGGCATGCAGCTGGTATCAAGCTGCTAATGTCTGCCTTGACAAGGGGTCCATGTGGACTGTGTACGTGTTCATGTGTGTGTGTTGGTCTTAACTCTTCCCTCTGCTTTTCTTTCTCTTCTCCTTTTGCTGTGTGAGCTGTTGGCTGTCCGGCCTCGTCTCACTCTCAGTTCTGATTGTTTCCTGAGTGCCTTGCCAGATAGGAAGTAGGAGGAAGTTATTGGAGGAGCTGGAGAGAATTTATTAGGGCCAAACACAGACACAGGAGGGAGGGGAGAAGGCGGCGACAAATAAAAAAAAAAAATGAAGCTCATGCTTTTATAATTCTGAGGAAGACAGTGGTGTCAGCAACAAATGGGGGACAGATAGGCCAACGCTCATGCCAACTCATCACCTTCAGTTTATCCCCTAGATTAAGCAGCAGTCATACTGTTAAATGTTAATTTGCTATAAATGCATTGCTGTGCATTTCTGTGTGCCATGAGGAATAAGGTTGCGTTTCCAGTTCTTGTCAGAGAGCAGCTTTCCTAGCCTGGAACCTAAAATGTTTTCTTTATCTGTAATCTGACCTTAGAGAGCAGCTGCTCCTTCTGCTGCCAAGTCCTGTTGTTTCCCCTGTCAAGTGTGTGTTTGTGTGGCTGTTGGTGTGTGTGTGTGTGTGCTGGGGGGGGTTCAGTGTGACAGAGTAGGCTCACTCTACATCTGTGAGCACCTTAACAAGACTGTGG